GTGCAGTCGCTGACCGGGTCGTCGCTCACGACGTAGTGCGTGCCGACCGAGATCGGACTCGCCAGCGCCGCCTCCGCAATGTACTTGCCTGTCTTGACCGCGTTGCGCACGCCCATCGTGAGGGCCGTCACCTCGACCGTCTCGCTCAGCAAGTCCATCTTGGCTTCCAGTGCGCTCACGAGCTTGATCCCTCGCAGCATCCCTTCCGCCGTCCGCTTCGCTCCCACATACGTCCACATGGCGTGCTGCAGCTCCGACAGAATGGTGACCACCGCGGCTTCGTCAGCGGGCTGGCACGCGCGGCGAGTGCGACCGCTCAACGCCACGCTGCCGGCCGGCACGCGCACCACGTCCTCCGTCGACGACACCGCACCATTCGACAAAAAGTCCGTCGCGACTGCGCAACCCCACACCAACGCCTCCAGCAACGACGTCGACGCGAGGCGGTTGGCGCCGTGCATGCCCGTGCAACTCACTTCGCCCGCCGCGTACAACCGAGGCACGGACGTCTTGCCCGACAAGTCCACCTGCACCCCGCCGCAGTGGTAGTGTGCGGCAGGTACGACCGGCATCGCGTCCTTCGTCATGTCGATCCCGCGGGCCAAGCAGTGCTGATAAATGGTCGGGAACCGGCCCTTGAGCCACTCCGCTGGCATGTGCGAAATGTCCAAGTACATGCAGCTCTCGCCCTCCTTCTCCATCTCGCTCAGGATCATGCGCGCCACCACGTCGCGCGGCGCCAGCTCGCCGTCCACGTGGTAGTCGCGCGCAAAGTAGTGCCCGCGGCCGTTGCGCAGCTTGGCACCTTCGCCGCGCAGCGCCTCTGTGAGCAAGAACCGACGCTCTCCGGGCAGACACAGTGTCGTCGGGTGGAACTGCACATACTGCATGTTCTTGAGCTTGGCGCCGGCACGGGCAGCCACCGCCACGCCTTCGCCGCGCGCGCCGTCCGGGTTCGACGTGTTCGCGTACAAGTCGCCGAGGCCGCCCGTCGCCAAGAGCGTCATGTCCGCCTGGATCAGCTCCACGGCAGACGTCGTGCGCTCCACGAGCAGCGCACCCACGCACTCGTTCTGGTCGTTCAGGGCCAAGTCGTATACGACGCGACCCGTGCACAGCTCGATGTTTGGGTGGCTCATCACCGCCGCTTGCATGGCAGTCGTGATCGCTTGACCGGTGTGGTCAGCCTTGAACAGGATGCGCGCGCGGTTGTGTGACGCTTCCAAGGTCAGCTTGAGCTCGCCCGTCTCGGCGTGGCGCTCGAACGGCACCTTGGACACGTCCAGGAGCAAGTCTTCCACGCACGCCGGGCCTTCCGTCGCCACCTTGCGTACGGCAGGGTCGTGGCACACCCCCGCGCCGGCGCGGTGGATATCTGCCGAGAGGAGGTCGGGCGAGTCGTCCTTGGCCTTGTAGATGATGCCGCCTTGGGCCCAGTAGCTGTTGCAGTCGGCAGGGTTCGTGGCGGCGCCAAGCATGATCACGCGGACGCCTTCGCGGGCGAGGCGAAGTGCGGCGGCCGACCCGGCCGCGCCACACCCGATAATCAGCGCTTGAGTGTGTCGTACGCTTGAGATGGGTTTTTCAAAGTCGGTTAACTTCACGCAAGCGTACTTCTGGCTAGGAACAGTGTAGACCAGGGTGTGGGGTCGGATCGGCTTGGGGCGAAGCAGGGACATGGTGGTGGATCGAGGTTTGTAAAAGTTTGTTTCACCGTTGTTGAGGTTGATTGAAGCGGAGTGATTGAACTTAGTGAGCAGAGGTCAAGGTGGCGTATTTCTTGTTGAATGTCCAGGTTCGCTTGGCGGACATAAACTGCGGATTCCACGTAAGAAAGCGAGAGCGGCAAGGAGCGGGCAGCGGGTGCGGCGACGGCGGCGTTCGATCGAGACGAAAATAGAAAGTGTGGTGAGGATGACGTATGCTTCGGTTAAGTGCGATGTATGCGACAACGTTGGTAACATACAAACTTTCATATATACGGTGGCATGAAAGAAATCGACACGTCGCATGGATATGGCCCGGATAATATCCGGACGTGGAAGCACAGGAAATACGATGGTTTGCCTTGTGGACAGTACGAGGGACGCAAATGGAGTTGAGGAAGACGACGAGGGGTGTTGCTGGTGAGGGTATGCGGGTAATGATGGGACGGTAATGTGGCCTCAGCGGAAAGAGATTTTAAACGTTGTCCGCCTTCCCCCTGAAACTGTTGCTTGCACCTTTGTCGCACTAAATAAACTTTGAAATGTCAAGCGAAACGGACGGAGGAAGATCGACAACAAAAAGGTACACGCTTGTTTTCGCAAGCAGCACTGCACGTCGCGATGGCGACATCGTCTCGGCGGCTGATAGTAGTCTTCTCCAGCTTCTGGGTTGTCGGCTATAGTTTAGCACGCTCGAACATCGTTGTGGCGTTCCGCTTCGCAACACTACATAACGTTATGTGCCCTTCACGGCATAGATAGCTCAGCAATCGTGCCACCCATTCTTCTACACCCCGTGAGCACCAGGACTCACAGTCAACGCAATGCAACCTGACAGCTCCAGACCATGGCACGTTATCCGCCAACAAGTCGTCCGCCATCACTTCACAGCCCGTCCCATCACGAACTGCATCCTCTTTCCTGCTCTTCTGAACGCATCGTCTAAGACGGACTCGAAAGGAATCGTGGCTCATTGACGGGTAAGGTGACGCTGTGGAGTACGAACACGGACGCTAGAGAAGAAGAACGCCTGAGTGGGAAGTTTGTACAGCGTAGGAGCGAAGTGGTCGTGCATTCGTTGCATGTCCAGCCGCATTGCCACGCCTGCCATGTAAAAGCCAAGGAACTGCGCACATTTCCATCTCAACTGCTCTACAATTCAGACACCCCGCTCTACCATCGACGGCTGTTCTATCTTCCTAGAGGCGGTGCGAGGCACATCCCAACATTGCAGAACCCAGTTCGATTCACGGTTGTGCATCTTTCCTGGTCGCCGTGCACAACCTCGCGTTGGACAATGAAGCAGGGCAACATCATACAGTCGCAGTGGCTGTCGAGAAAGGTTCAACCGAATTTTACACCATGTCGGGTTTGAGCTATATTGACGAGGGTACGTTTGGGAGCCTCAGTATACAACAGCGCCGTCCACATGGCAAGGGAACATCCACGAGCAAAGCTCGAATCACCCGTTCGTGTCGGCGGTGCAAGGAGACACGCATCGGCGAAGCTCTCGTCACCCGTCGTGGCTTATTCCAATCATCAGGTGTGACACACCATTCGATAGCCTTCCTCGGGTTATTTAGTCTTGACGAGCTTTGTCAGGTATCCACGTAAACCGTTCAAGAGGTGAGACGTTATGCTAGTCAAACTCTCATCGTTGATTGGCTAACCAATGGTGGGGCAAGGTTACGTTGGGAACTAGGATTGAATCGCGTTCGCACCCCATCTCTACAGAGAATTGTGAGGCGAAGCAGGAAGGGGGCGCCTGCACCCGCGATGCGAACCAACTGAGCAGACACAACGTTTGGCATACAGGGAGAGACCTAGAACAGTCATTTTCGCATTGCCCGGATCGAGCAACATGCCCTCCCAATTGACGCTTGTCGTGTTGACCATGTTGACAACGGTAGCCACGCCCGCGACCCTTCGCCGAGTCGCTACTGCTTCATCGTCGTCTGGAGGTGGAACCCTTCTGTTTGTCGTACTCGTCACGTTGTTGGTCGTGCTCCTCCTGGTGGCTGGTGTCGTCATCCTTTCCTGCCACCGATACCGCGGCAACGCCGAGATGAAACAAGATTTGGACTGCCCCATCGATTGCATGTCAACGACGTCCCAACGAGGCCAAGCATTCCTCTCGTCCGTCTTTCTTCAAGAACTCAAGACGCAGCATCCTGCGATTTCGGTGGGGGATCTCACGTCGACTGCCGTTCTTCCGTCCGCCACCACAGCCATGCGCTTGCAGCAATCGACCGCAACAACATCACGATTACAGTCCTTGGCGGACATCCGGTCGTCGGAACTGTGTCGTACGGGGTTGGGCTCCGTCGATGACAGGTCGTCGATCATGGAATCGTCCTCCAACATCCTTGGATCGATCCGTACGGAGCAAACGCTCTCCAGCTCGAGCGTTTTGAGCACATTCCTAAGTCACGAAACTACAAGCCTTGATGGAATGAGCACATTTCGCAGCCAGGACACGTCCAGCGTGGACGATGGTGTCGTGGTCATCAGTGGCGGGCGCCATAGCGACCTCTGCGACCAAGAGCAACAGCACGTGTCCGATCCTGACTCCACTGAGTCTGAGGGAGAAGGTATCTCGTTCCACGACGCGCCGTCGCCTTGGTCGATTTTACAGGAAGACGTGACCATTTTCCGACCGCACATGTCAGACCTAACGAGCAGCAGCCGTGGCCTCAACCAACTGGAGTACTACCAGTGGGCACGCGCTATCGTTGCCAATGGTGGTGTTTGACGAGCTGCCCTGTAGTACAAGCTGGAGGCAGCCCTTCGAGTCTGTTGTAACTTAGTGGTCGCCTGAAGTTTTGTTTGAACTTGATCGAATCTGTAATGTTTATCCTGGGAATTTCTGGGTTAGCCGCAGCTACAACACCCATCGATCCGTCTCGGCCACAACAGAAGTCCATCCAACTTATTCACGCTAAACACAGCGTGCACGCGATTTGCACCTCGCATTCAGTCCGCTACTGGCTGCTCGACCCAGGGCGTTGGGGTTGTGCGCACGCAGCAGCCGTGTCCTTTCGATGTCACCTGGCGCATCAGGTGATGTGCGGGCCATCCATTCAGTCCTTGCACAACCGGAGACGACGAATGCATATAAAATGTTAAATTTACTTCTTACAAACAGCGAATTGGCACACATGTGGGAATGTTCCATATAAAATATCGGAACTTGGTCCAAAAAACGCAAAAAACGCACTGCGAACGGTATTGTAGCATTCCATTGTGCCTATTTTTCATTATGACACATCGTGCCTGCCGTAACAGGCGCATTTTCCAATCCGCTTGGTCCGACTCATGACGGTGATCATCGACGGCAAGGCCATTGGCACCACAATCCTTGATGAACTCAAGGCGGAAGTCCAAAAGAACGTGGCAGAGCACGCAGACTACGTCGTGCCTGGCCTCGCCGTCGTTCTCGTCGGCGACCGCAAGGACTCTGCCACGTACGTCCGTATGAAGAAGAAGGCGTGCGAGCAACTCGGGTACCGCACCGTGAGCGTCAACTTGCCTGTGGACATCTCGTACGACGCCCTCATTCACGAGATCACGGCACTCAACAACGACCCGACCGTCCATGGTATTTTGGTGCAATTGCCACTTCCACGCCACCTCGACGAAGAAACCGTGCTCAACCACATCGTCCCTGCCAAAGACGTCGATGGGTTGCACCCGATGAACGTGGCGGCGCTCTCTGTGCGCTCCAAACTTCCGTACGTTGTTGCGTGCACCCCTGCTGGGTGCATTGAGCTCTTGGACCGCCACGGTACTGCTAAACTAGCATCCTATCAGTGTAGGGTGCCATGACTGAGCACGATGACGTATCCGTAGGGATCGAGATCGAAGGCAAGCGCGCGGTGGTCGTTGGCCGATCCCGCATCGTGGGCATTCCCGTGGCGCACTTGCTGCTTGACCGCAACGCGACCGTGACAGTCTGCCACTCGAAGAGCGTCAACTTGGAAGGCATCGTGCGCGAAGCCGACATTTTGATTGCCGCATGCGGTCGCGCCGAGATGGTGCAGGGCAGTTGGATCAAGCCTGGCGCTGCCGTCATCGACGTCGGTATCAACTCGGTCGACGATGCGACCAAGAAGGCTGGGTAAGTCGTCGACTGTTATGGCCGACACATTCCATCACCCTAACGACATCGTTTCAATAGGTACCGCTTGGTTGGCGACGTGCACTACGCCAGCGCAAAGGAAGTGGCCGGGGCCATCACGCCCGTGCCCGGTGGAGTTGGTCCCATGACCATCGCCATGCTCATGAAGAACACGCTGATCTGCGCCCACCGCTCGCAGCCCCACTTGTTCCAAAAGTAGACGGACTGTTCATAGTGGGCGATATGCTTGTACGAAACACGTTGTTAAATACACCTCTCTCGACGGAGCTCACGGCGGATCGCTGCCGGTGTGCTACTAGCGTCGGCGGAGAAGCTGGCCGCCAACGGCTTGGTGCAGCAAGCCCACCCGTCCAATCTACTCTATCGTTCGCTCGGCACAGATCCCGTCATGTTATCGATGTCCACGGCGGAGACGTCACCGTCGTCATCTTGGTCTGCGAAACGAACAGTCTAGAATCGACGGATGAGGGAGGAGCGCTTTCAGCAGCGCAACATACCTTTGGATGGTCCGTAGCAACGCTGTGGTGGCTCGTTGTCAACGTGGAGGTCGACCGATGCGTGTCGAGTTGTGGGACATGCAACATATACTCATCTAGGTGGATGTCATGACCCTCTTGGACCATCGAGTAGTCGTCCGAATCCAGTGGCTTGGTCAATACCACGTCACCACTCCCGTCTTGATTGATTGTGTACTCATCTCTTGCCGCAAGCGATGCATAGTACTCGGCCCACGCGGCGGCATCTGTTACACCACCACCTTGTTCCGTTGCATGGTGGTGAGCGAGCGAGTCGCTCCGAGTCGAGTTTGCTTCAAAAGCGGCATTTTGTAACTTGTACGTGCCGTCTGCAGCAAAGGCGCCAGGGTACGTTGGTGCTGGACCAGCCTCGATATCGCCAGTAGCTACGGACACACCATAGTACGCCGCCCACTCGTCTGACCAGCCTTGATTGGAGACACCATCGTCCACCAGTTCTTGGTCGATCGTGGCGTCGACGACAGGATCGCCATCGCGTGCTACCACGGTCTCGAATGCTCTCGGCACCGGTACCGTCGCGGTTGCAGCAGTGTCGATGGCAGATCCATCGTTTTCACGATCGATGCTGCTATCGTTGGCGCTTAAGTAAGTGGAATCATCGATTTCGGTGGAAGCAGTGTCCGTGGCTTCAAGGGGGAGCTCGTGTACTCGTGCCATCGACTGACCAGTGCCCATGCCGTCATTCGAATCGAGGGGCGAGAGTTCGGAGAGAGGTGCCGTCCAAGGTACGTCACACTGGGCGTCCTCATCTGGCGTCTGGTCAAATTCTCGAAGGTCGACGATGCCGCCGCCAAAGGTTTGGCTGGTTCCAGCGACTGGGGCATCGATATCTACGGTGTTGCCTTGCCTTGACGGCACCGCGCGACTTGGTATTGAATCATGTTGCACGTCGACTTCTTCTGTCCGCAGTGAAAGAAGGGCGTCTCCAGCGAGATAGGAATCGCTGTCGTGGCTGCGAGAAAGGCCATCAGTCATGGAAACACTTGTTTGCATGGCCGATTCATTCAAGTCGCCACGAAATGGACGGTCAGCATCGTGCAGTGTCTTAATGGGACTGGAACGCCCGTGGAAATCGGATGGATGTTTCCTAGCCTTCGCTCCTTCGTCCTCATCAACGTCCGATTCATGCACTGGAGATTTGGCTCGATCCACGACCACGACCTTGCTGCCTTCCACGGGGTCACATGCACCTCCGACAGACTTGACTTCTCGCTGGGGTGAGTGGCTCATGTTGATTGCTTGCAATGGTGGATGGGCAGTGATGTTTTTGATCGACGCGACTCGGCCCCCCGTTGCAGTCGCTCTACCACGCGACGATCGCGTTTGGGAAGTTTGCCCTTGCTCGTCGGTGCCAGTATCACTTCGGTTCGTTTCTTGGGCTCCTGATTTCATGTCTGGCACGTCCGCGTCTGTTACAAGTCCTTCCTCTTCATCGCTTTGCGCTGGATTTGATTGCCGCAGCGCCAACACAGACGAGCTGTCGTGGCTGGACGGCATCGATGCGTCTCGATGGCTGAGGTGGGGAACGCCGTCGATCAAGTATTCGTCGTCACGGATCCATGGTTCGGTCCACTCGTCCGACGGCCGTGATTCCACCCGATGGTTCCATTGCAGTGAATCGTCGGCTCCATCCAGGTGGGCAAGTGAATGTGGTGCCACGGCCGCCTCCACCGTTTCAGATTGTTCATGCGGCTGGAAATAGGCATCCCCGGCGGCGGTCGCAGGATCTTGGCTCGCGTAGTAGTCGGCCCAAGCCTTGGCATTCTCCGCATCACTTTGCCACGCTTCCGTCTTGTCGGGGGCTGAATAGCAATAGTTGTTCGAGTCGTAGATTGCGCTCTCGCTCGCGGTGAAGGTGGTGGTGGCACATGGTTCGGTCGCGTTGTAAAACCCACCCTGACCGTCAGGGCTCCAATACGTCCCCGTAGCCGTGTCGTAGCACCCGCCGTACTCGTCGTAGACCCATTGCAATGCCTCGGGAGGAACGTCCGCTGCGACAGCCCCGACAGTTCCACTGCTGCTATCCTCTGGGATACCATTTGACGAGTCCGCCGCACCCGTGTCATAGGTGTAGCCCATCGAAACGTACGACGACACCGACGGAGAAGCAGCATGGGACGGTATCGGATGCTTCTTGGACGAGCGGGCGAAAATGGCAACACACCCTTCGTGTCCATTCGCAGCAGCGAGTTGGGCGGGCGTTTCCCAGTCGGTGTTTTGCAGTGTCGTGTCCGCGCCAAGGTTGACGAGGTGGTTGACCAGTTTCTGGTGACCTACCGCACCAGCACTGAGCTTGGAAGGGGAAACATGACTGGATGAGGAGCAAGCTAGCCACCTGAGTGCGCCGCCCAGTGGAGTGCTGTATCCCCACGTTCGTCAGCAGCATTCAAGTCGACTTTGAACTTACGGAGCGAGCTCACCTATCGCGATAAAATGGGTGAAACAAGAAAGCGGGGGGAGGTCGTGGGAGAAGTGGGGGAAACGTACCATTTCCAAGCCAACCTTGCATTCGACAGCGTAATGCAACGGGGTACGGCTAAGGCCGTCACGGGCGTCCGGTGTGGCCCCCATCTCGAGCAAATACGTGACAAACGTCGAATGGTTGTAAGCAATCGCCAAGTGCAGTGGGGACCGGCCTTCAGCGTCCCGAACATTCACGTCCCAGGCAGGGTCACCTTGCTGAAGCACGCAAGCGCACTCCACGTGGCCAAGGATCGCGAGCACGTGGAGGGGGTACATGCCGTCGTACGACGATATGTTGAGTGGAATGTGTCGTTCTTGGGCGGCTTCTAGAAGCGCTTCACATGCACCGCATTGGTTCTTGGCACACGCGTGATGAAGTGCCGTGTAGCCCTTGTTATCGACGGTGTCGAGGCGGAGCGCAGACGCCCCAACATCAACGAGCTGTTCAAGCTGCTCCACATGACCTATGGAACAAGGGGGGGGAATGAGCCAGCAATCCCCAGCTTGGGCGTGTGCAATGGAAATGTCAACGTGCCATGCCCAGCCGCCGCCATCAACGGTGTCACTCCGTCGAAGTCCTTGGCATTGACGTCGGCTCCGTGGTCGAGAAGCACCCCTACCACGTCATGCACCTTGCTCGAGTCCACGTTGAGTGACGTGATGGCAACGTGCAGTGGAGATTGCCCGGTAGCCTACGCCAGCCATCAATGCCAGTAATAACCCCAAGCAACGTCATTTATACTCCGTACATCGCGTTCATTCACGTCGCGGCCGTCGTGGAGGCTGTCGAGGAGGTCGGGAATCGACAGGGCAGCGGCTGCTTCGAGCACGGTGGGTGTCCGCTTGGACGGTTTGGTCTTGTTGACTTGGGCCAAGCTTTCGGAGCGGTGGAGGGCTTTTCCCAACGTGTACTCTGGTGGAATCGTCAATTGCAACGACGTCGACTCCTCGACCACTTCGACCTGCCCAAGGACTTCGAGGGCAGCGAACTCCCAATCTTTTGTGCGGCTCTTGGACGACCGAAATTCGTGCAGCGCGTTGAGCACCCTCGACGTGGCCGAATCGAGCTTGAGGAACCCGCGTTTGCGGCGCTGGATGCAGCTCACACTCGCTGTCCCACGGCTCAGCCACAGCGCGTAGTACGGTTCGTCCACTGACGTCGAGCCAAGAACAAGTGCTGTGGACCACACTTTCTTGCTCAGCAGGTTGCGCGCTGCTCGCACAAGCGTTTTGGCCGCTCGGTGACGTCTCAAGAACGCCCGCACGAGCCGCTGCATCCGCGTCGCCATCCGACACTGCCAAAGCCACCACCAGTACGCGAGGTAAGCGCGATATGCATTTTGGATGGACACGGCAGCGTGGCGGCGTTGCCGCCACCACACGACATGCCGCCACGACCTGGCAAGAACGATTTGAGCTCGCGTTCGTTTGAGAAAGAGGTAGACCCCCCAGCAACGCTGGATGCGGCGGCACGCGAGAAGGCGACGCCGACGACGGTGTTGGATGACCAAATCGGTGCCTTGGTTGACCCACATCCTTACAACTGGACAAAATACACAACGAAAGCGCCATCGCCGCACACTCTTTCGCCACTCCATCTGGATAGTCGTGGAAGCCGTGCGCCTGACATAGCAGCCCAGGACAACTTGGCGCAGCGTCGCAAGAGCTCCATGGCGAACTTGCATGCGGTGGAGCACCACCGTGCTGAACAGGGCACACACATGGACCGTTGAGAACTCACGGGTTGCTTGTCGACGTTCCAGTGCCTAGGTATACATGTGGGGACAGTTTCTCGAAGAGGAGATGTCCTCACAATGGACACAGCGGTGGTGGCAAAGGCGCCGGCGGTACTCCTCACAGCCATCCGTTTTTGCAGCACCTACAGGCATCGTCGGGACGTTGAGCAGCGAAAGGAGGCAACTTTGACGTGTAATGTCGTACACTGCTCAGTGCTAAGTCCATGGCGGCTCGCGCCGTTCTTCGAACGTCCATGCGTCGCGATATCACCTACACCAACGACAATAAGATTGTATCAGGTGTGATGGGGTTGGTTAAATTTACATCAGAGATGTATCGGTGCACAACGTCTGCAGCGCACACGTGAGCTTTTGCACGGCGCTGTAGCTGTCGGCAGAGGAAGCGATGGCGCAGCCACACAGACGCGATGCAATGCACAGATGCCATGCGTCGACGCCTGGTCAGGAACGCTCGAGTTGCCGACTGAATCGTCGCTGCCTTTGCATGCCAATGAACGACATGCCCAAGCGCAGTTTGTACGAACTCCACACACGTCTGGCGTGCTTGCAAACGCGTGAGATTGTGGCGATGCACCCTTCGGAGATCCTGCAACTGTTGCCACCGAGTTACAACTCTGGACTCTGCCTCGGCAAACGAAATCTCCACTGTTGACAAAGCAGTCATTGAAATCCACGTCTCGGTCAGTTTGACCAAGCGCTGGTGCCGTGCACGGGCCAACAGCTCGACCGTGTCTTGAGTGAATCGGTGAAGTGCCGACGACATGGCGACCGCAGCGACCTCCATGGCCACCGCAGCGATGACCTTGCGGCGGGAATATACCACCCCCATCGATAGTCGCAGAATACTCAGGCGTGCTTTTGTCTCGGCACGAGTTGTTGCATTCGTGGCTACGTCTCGCCACCGGCGGGACGCGTTGCCGACCGCTCCTTCCAAATATTGTTGCACAGCAGAAAGCATGACTTGGTTGACGATGTTCCAAGCCGTGTGCTGGAGGGCCAAGCGACGGGCGCGGGCCACGACCATTGAGCCCCGCAAGACGGCAAGCCGTGCAAGAAAATCGGAGCGATAGGCAACGATTGCGCCGATGGCGTGCCATCTTCGTCGAGCTTCAAGGACACGCCATCTCTCAAGTTCCTTCGCTTCAGAACGTCGCAAGCGCCGCCACCACGATTGAATGCACTCGACGTAGCGAACAAGTCGGCCGTGGTGCTGGTAACGTCGATAGGTGGATTGGATTGTGGACGCAGCGATCTCGGTCTGACGGACGGCGAGAAGTTGTTTATGGACATCCAGCCATACACATCGTAGAACTCGAGACTTATGCACCTGTCGCCACCACATTTGAATGGTTTGGGCGAAGTAGCGATGTCGCCTGTACACTTGCATGATGTGTGTGGCCATGTGTCGATACTTCTGGAGTGCAGTGTAGTGCCGCCATGCGCGCTGAAGATCTCGCGTCGCGTTGAGTTGCTGGGCTCGCAAACGGACGGCTCGGCGGTGTTTGACCAGCTTCCACACACGCCAAATGGTACGCCCGTGAGAAACCACTGCCTCATTTTGCCGGACGATGTGCAGTCGTGCAATGCTGCGCCATGTTCGAACAACCAATGCAGCCCCCCGGAGCCGAGACACGAGCCTTCGCCTCGTTCGCATTGCCGATTCTTGAAAAAGTTCTCGTTGTTTGTGTGCGTACCGCTCGTCGAGCCGCTTTGCCCTTACTTGGTGCCACCTCCACGCTTGCTGAACAACTCGAGCAGCAACGCCCCATTGATGCCGCAACGCGGCTTGTTGTACTTGCACGCGGGCTGCCCGGTCAAAGCGCCACTTGCGTTGAATGGCCCTTGCCGCACGAATTCGATTTCGAGTCGTTCGCACGCGTTGCTGAGTATTTTCCAGCAAATTTTGCTTGGATTGTAGCAACGCGAGGTGTTTTCGTTGAATCCTTTGGGCGAACGCACGACGACGTGAGTTGTGCCACCACCGCCACCAGATTTGAATGACCAAGACTGCTTGGCCTTTCCGCCTATGGTCCTGCTGCAGCTTTGACTGGCGCCACCAGCGCTGTACGGTCGTAACCAAGACATGCCGCTGTTTATGTCTTTGGAATCGCATGCTGCTCCAATGGCTTTGGATGATGCGTGCTTGCAGGTGGTTGTGGACACGCGCCGCCTCGGTCTGCATCAGCTCCATTTCGACTTTCAACTTTTGTTGGGCAATGAGGTCTCGCCACCGTCGCTGGATGGACCGCGCTTGGACGTGTTGAAGTTGCGCCCGCATGACCTGTAGCTCTCGCGTTTCGCTTTCGCTTGGCACAGTTATTGCTGGTTGCAATAGATTTCGACACTTCCGCCGGCGCGATGTGTGATACCACCGCCACGCAGCGCCGATTCGACGAGCAGCTGTATGCTGTCGGGCGTGCATTCGCCAATTGTCCACGGCTGACCTCGCCAATCGTCGTTGGGTCCGAACGCGCAGCCATTTGGCCGTTCGCCGTCGCTGCATCTGGTTCTGCCACGTCACGAAAGCGCGTCGACTTGTGGCCCGACGAGAGAGCGCTAGTCTAACACCATACCGCCGCCAAGTGGTAAACACCCGCTGAATGCGAGCTGCGTCTCGCTTTTGAAGCATCCGGCGATGGCGCAGGTGCAAGTCGTGGCGTTGCAACCATGCATAGAAGCAGGATACAACCAAAGGTCGCACCGAGCTCTCCGATTCGTGTGGGGCACGGTTGCCTGAGCTGGGGGAATCCGTTAGCATTGCAGCGTCGCTGTCACCATCCAGTCGGAAACCACCATCGTCGTCAGAAACTACGAGTGGGCGGCATAGCTTTTCCACCTCGTTGGCTATGATGGACAGCACGGACAGCAGCATGTCCCCGTCGACTTCGTTGGTCAGCTGCATTGTCGCTTGGAGTTGCGCCAGTCGCGCGGGCGACGGGTCGGCGCGATATCGCTGCCACTGGGGGTCCGAAAGCGTGATGGCGCAGAGAAGGGGGTTATGTTTGAACGAAGGGATGCCGAGTGCATGGGCCAGCATCGCTTCACTCTCCAGGACGTCCAGGTCATTGGCCATCTGAGAGCCAACGTGGTGGGAAGACATGGTGACGGCAGCAGGCGACGTACATGAACCAGGTAGTTGCGCCCTTGCCATCGAAACTCCTTTGAAGTGTCCTGCACAAGACGTTAGGTGCTAAGTGTGCATGTAGATTTCATACACACCCCAGCAATTGTACGCCACGCTGTGATGGTGTTGACGACATCGACAGATCGCTGGCGCACCACAGCTGCACATTGCATCAACTTGAGTACGCGAGCAGTGGTTTGACGAGTTGTCGAGCTGCACGTGTCTTTTATGTCCTGGACGGCTGCATCTCTCCACATCACCTGCACCGCATCGAATTCGTCACTTGATGGCGCAACTAGATTTGCCTGACCTTGTCTACCAATGCTGCTTCGAGTGCAGTTGCGATTATCTCTACTTTTCGCCCGCTTTCCCTTTCGTCGGAGACCCATCGACCCCCGGGAACTGTCTTGGTGCGTTCTAGTGCTTCAAGGGTGGGGTGCTTGACCCACGTGGCGCGCTGTCTGTGCACGGCTTGCACGGCCCGGCTCGGCATGGACGGCTCCTTTCGTTCTTTGACCCTAGTTGTCACCGCGGATTGCTATGCCGATGCATGCACAGCATGAGCTCCCGCAATATCGAGATACCTCCAAGAGTAGAACGTGTAGGGGTCGTACCGGTCGTTCTAGCACGCGGAACTGGCCGTCGCTGCGTTGCACAACTTCGTACGCAGCCACTGCTCTCAACAACATGTAGACAACTTGACGGACCATCCATCAAACGGACATGGCACGTTACCTTTCGGGACAAACCGGCGGTGGGTGCTCCTCGGCTCGATTAGTTCGATCTGCACCGCAGTCCCGGCCTCCTACATCCAACGCGTGATCCACCGACCCACGGCGGCCAAAACAAATCTAGTCGAGATATACCTCAGCCTTTCGTCGCCGTCGCATTTGTGGTGTGGCGCATCGGCGTCGTTCCGCAGTCGCAGGATCTGCGACGATGTAACGGTCTCTAGCGGTTACAATAACCAGTTACTTGGATAGACAAGCAGCCAGCGCGAAAAGTGTGAATGGAACAAACAGCACTGGATGACCGGCGCAATGTCGAGGGGGGGGATGAAGGGGCCATGACTGGCGCCGTCATGATGGCACGATGTCGATTCTTGGTCATGCGGGGGCCGCTGTTTGCAATTACCCCCCCCCCAGCCCCCACATGGTTACCTCTATGGACGGCATTGAAAGGAGCATTTTGGACAATTTGGAACGCAGACATCGACCATCCCGAAGTGTGAAAGGACAGGTGGTTGCGATCGCAACTCCAACATTCGTAGTACTGTACACGCACCCTGTTGTTTATACCGCCGGCAGACGTTTTCGTAACACGTCAGGGGTGTGATGGCACAGTCACTGAGCGCAAGGCGCAGGTGTCCACAGGCATGACTGCCACGTTACACAAGGCAGCCAGCGTTCTGCTTGCCAAATGACGCCGTTTTGACGTGTGGTGGGGCGGTACACCACCAGGAACGGCGGCAACGTCTCGATTATTACGTCCGCGTCTTTCTGACCGGAGCAATCTGGTCAATGTAGCTTTTACAGTCCTCCACCGATTTTTGCACACAGGCTCAATTCAATACCTCTCAATAATTGATACAAGACAGAAATTAACATTAAAGGGTTTTCCCGTCATGCGGCGGATTCAAACTTTGAAAATTCAAATGCAATATGAACGTGAGGTCGACATCTTTCATTTACTCAATTACGATGCCAGGCTCAACGAAGCGCTTAAATCTCCTGCAGAAGCAACAACTTCGCGACTACTATGCAACGGCCAAGCAACCGAACATGTCCAAGCTATGTCGCTGGGCACTCGAGCAATTCGGGTTCTCGCCGCACAGAACAACAGTTTCGCGCATTGTAAAAGATTCGCGTGGTGCTCCCTACATCGCAAGTAAAGTCTTGGCCACGCGACGCAACCGAAAGCAGCCGCAACTGCCGCAACTGGAGCAAATCCTATACGAATGGATCAAATACGTCAACGCTCAAAACTGCAGCATTACTGGAGACGTCATCATTCGCAAGGCACAGCACCTCGCTCAATGCATGTTTGGCCACACAGTCGCCCGGTTCTCGAAAATGTGGTTGTATCGCTTCCAACGCCGTCGCGGGCTTCGCCAGTACCGCCTGCACGGTGAATCGGCGTCTGTGTCGCGACTTGTTGTCGAAGACGGCCGGACTGAACTCTTGCTCCAAACTTCCTTGTACGAACGATACGACATCTACAACATGGATGAGACGGGAGTGTTTTACAATCGTGTACCAAGCACAACAATATCGCACGAAGCGCGTCATGGAATGAAGATGGACAAGAGTCGAATCACTGCTGTTCTTGCCGCAAACGCTGACGGAACCGACAAAATTCAACTGACGTTCATTGGGAAGTCGAAGCGCCCGCGCTGCTTTGGAAACCTGACCGCCGAGGACTTGTCGCTGCTCTACCGCAACAACCGTAAGGCGTGGATGACGATTGCCATTTTTTCGGAATGGATCGGGAACCTGAACAACTCGATGAGGGCGGCCAACAGGAGCATCCTCTTGGTCCTAGACAATGCGTCATCGCACAAATGCCTCGGTATTGAACTGACCCATGTTCGTGTGCTGTTGCTGCCCTCGAACACCACCGCGTGGCTCCAGCCTATGGACGCTGGCATCATCGCATCATTCAAGTGTCACTACAAGCGGCGTCAAATTGACAGTGTGATCGCGAAGTTGGATGCACTACCTCGTGATGTGGCGCCATCCGCGCCAAAGAACTTGTTTGCCGTTGACGTCTTGACGGCCATGGAATGGATGACCGAAGCGTGGGAGGATGTGACTCCTGAAACGATTCGTAAGTGTTGGAACCATACGGGGATCATACCGGTCTCATCTTTGGCCAGTCGTCTTGGTGCCCTTCGCCTTCGCCCGGTGATTTCTATTGAAGACTTGGTGTGCTGAGGAGGCCAATCGTTCATGCCTCTTTAATTCAATACATTGTTTACATTAAATACCTCGTAAATTTGAAAATTCCAGGGGTGTGCAAAAATCGGTGGAAGACTGTACTACTAATAGTAAGCACAAGACTGAGCCAAGCACGAGATCTGATGAAGGTCAAATTTGATACCAAACCAAGTTCTTCTGGCGCCTCGCGCGACCAGGATGTGTACGCGGGGCGAGGTCGAGCGCTCGTAATGGGGTCGTCGCATACATCTGACCACTACCGCCCTTTTACTTGACACAATGTACGACTCTGGCAAGGAACTGCCCCCGGCATGATTCACCAAGGGGGGCTTCAAGGACGATCTTGCCTGGGAAAGGAATGATTCCCGCGGATACTTTACGAGTAGATGCCACGCGGTGCCTTTGACGGCGTTTCCGCGGCAGACGTGCATCCAGCAGGGGCAAGCTCCATAGATGTGTCGTCGTCCGCTATGCGATTAATACATGCCTCCCTCCCCCTTTGCTGTTTTATCAATCCTGGCGCGGGGAATCGGGCGAGTGAGACGGAGTATTATAGACAGTCTGGGGGGCGTTCCGATTCCCATTTTGCATGTACACCCAAACAACGTCGTCGTCGTGTACGTAGGGGGGGCTTTTCTAACTCAATGAATCACAGTGTCCCCGACCAGAAAGGGGGTTAAGTCGTCAGGTAATTTGCCGTACAATGCCACGTTTTCCATTACCCGCGAATTCCACGCGGCCACGCGCTTTGGGTCGACAACGACTCGCTGACGTTCGCCGCTGTTCTCTGGGGCAAGCCGAGGAATTCCCCAATTGCACCGCGCCAACTGTTGCTGACGTCCATGAGAAGCAGAACCTACCACACCATTCGAATGACATACGAACACCAACACGGTGTGTGTGTGTGCATCATGAGGAATGGATAGCAGCACCCCTGGTTAGCTCCACTGGCAATGCGCAATCCCCGAGACTTGCATCCTACGTGTGCTATTTGGGGTTGCGAACGTCGGTTCCCGTGGCACGCGTTTTGAATAGTTTGGTCGATTGGCCAAGGTGTGATTACGTCAGAAACAGGTCGCGCATGCCATCGGGGAATTTCTCGGGCGTGAGGTCGTGCGTACAGCAAACGTACCGCAACTGGCGTCGTATGCGCGCATCCGACGAAACCTGTCAACTTGAAACACGGTCGACGAAAACCCACGATGTTGAAACCCTGGGGCTCCTCCTGACTGTCATCAAGGTTGGGGGAGGGGCGCTGTCGGTTTGGCTTCTACCCCACGTATACGCGTCGCTCCCCCGCGCGCCGTTGTCCCCAAGACACACGACTCAAGTGATCACGAGCATTGTTCGTGCATTGCACACGTTCTCCCTGTGGTGCGTCGGGACGCGGCGCACCCTCCTCCACTTGGACAAGTGGGTTCGTTTGGTGGGTTGGTCGGACTCAATTATATTCTCTTCAACTTGGTTTTTGTATGAACGTTGGAAATGGCGACGATTTAAAGTAAAGACCCACCACCACAAACTTTCGGCGATATGTCAAAATTTTGCAGTCGGCAACAATTCGCGCCGGTGGGCATCCCACTGTCTTCTGTCAACATCGTTGCCAGAGAAGGCGACAGGTGCCACTTCACGAAAGCCCACGGGACTCTGGGATGCTGGGTTCGCCATCCACTACGCCCAAACACGCAGCGGCTCCGCCACAAATCAACTTGCCATCGAACGGACACTGGACGATGGCTCCGAGCGCAACCACGATCCCAACGCTTCCTGCCCTGCGCATACAGCCGCACTACCAAAACCACTTGGCAGCATCCACGACAACGTTGATTGCCGAGTGCGAAACCCCATGCGCGGTTCGCCGCTGCAGTCACTACGCCAAGATGCACGGCTACTGCTTAGCACACCACCGCTCGATCGTTCAACTGCACGTGCCATCGACGCCGACGACATCTGAAGAAACGCGACCAAGCATCGGAGACACCAGCAGCGGGTACGAGTCGGCTCTTGGCAGCCCGTTAGCCGATAGCTCCAAAAAGCTCAAGCTCAAGAATCGCAACCGAAAGTGCCGCACGGAATCGTGCGTGTCGTACGCACGAAGCGGCGGGTTCTGCACACGCCATGGCGGTGGCCGTAAGTGCCAAGCCGACGGTTGCGGCACCGCGTCCCAGACCGGCGGCTTTTGCCGTCTCCACGGCGGCGGCTCCCGGTGCCGCATCGCCCAATGCGATCAGTTTGCGCGCATTCGTGGCCTGTGCCTTCACCACAACCGCGTGGCACCCGACGACTGCGGATCGTTTTCATCGTCGCATGAAGATCGCTCATGATGCCACTTTCGTTGCCGTTTGCGTTGTAGCGTTCGCACTTGACCACCTAATTTAACCACTCCTTCATCCGCACTCGATGTCATGATCGGACTCCACCCTCCCGTGATCGTGCGCGCATGAGCTTCGTCAACATGCTTGCCAACGCAGTCCGTTGTACCGCGCTTACTGGCCACGCAACCACGTCGCCCTGCTGGTTTCTGCAGGAGCGGTTAAGTTGCGATCTCCATCCTTATCTATCCCACCATTCATTTCAACCTTCTCTGGTCGTTGTAGCTCTCTCGTGTTGCCGCTGACAACCTTGTCTATAGCCGTCGTGAGAGAGATGCAGCCTCAGGTCGGGTGCGAAGTCCCGTCTGTGGTACTCAAGAGCTCGCGTGCATAATAGGACGGCGGTGGGACTGACGACAAGCTGCGAGCCATCGGGAAGGCGAGGCACGTGGGCCGATGATACCTGGACTCGTCTGGAATACGATCGATCAATGCACCGTTCTGCGGGTCGGGCGAGCGCGATCGAGGAGGGGCCGAGGGCCTGACCATAGTGGCAAGTCCTGCCGACTTTTCGTATCGGCTGGGTGAGTCGGATGAACAGCCGGCGACGATGCGGTGGGCCTCCCAGATAACATCACCCACCCCACCGCAGGAACCGCCGGTGCGAAATCCCAATGCAGCGCATTCGTTTCAAGGCCAACGTGGCGGCGACGTCGTGTGCGCAAAGGGCAGACCTCGAGCAAGTCTGGGAGCGCACGAAAATGCGGTCAAGGCAATCCATGCTCCCCGGCGCGTGCTGGACGAGGCTGGCCTCAAAGGCGATGCGGTACCCATTCTCGCCTCTACCAAAATTTCGCTCCCTCGTTACTGTACCAGCGACCGCACCGCAACCAAGACCGCACAGCCGGTCGGTCGGGTGGAATCCCTTGCCTTTCGCATACGCTGCCGTCTCATGGGACAACCGGCCAGTCGACCGACGACGTGTTGACGTTACTGTCGGCGGGGAAGCGCTGGTCCCGCGTGCGAGGGAAAGGCACCCCTCGGGAAGTGCGTCGGGGAGCCAGCTGCATGGATTGCGGCGCTGTGCCAACCAACATCATGGGCAAGGGACAAGCTTCCGCTGGTCCTACCTATCCTCGAGATCTAGTAATACTAGTAGTGCATGATGTGGTCAAAATAGTCGTATGCAAAATGAGCGACAAAAATGTGTCGCACGAGTTCGGAGGCGATTCTGGCACGACTCGCTTCCGCTTTCGACATGCGTGCAGTGGTGGGTGGAGCCTGGGGAGGCAAAGAGGCAATCCTTCGATGTGCTTAACGAGAAAGCACGACTCGTTTGTGCACCCTCGATGTGACAGCCTTGACTTACACGAACATTGATGGACAACACGGCGCGAATGCCCAGATTCCACCAGATACGATGCATGCTTGCGCTGCGACAACATGTCCCTATCACGGCACCACCGCGTGGCCACCTCTGTGCTTCAAATGCAGGTAAACCCACGAGTGGACCAACTCCTGCCAAGTCCTTGACTCGTAATGGCGACGATCTATTCACCGCAAGCCTGAATCCGACCACATTGCGCTTGTCATTTTCCTCACTTCACACAATATCAGAATCTATTGAACGGGGTACGATCGACGCAGCTTGTGAAGGGTTACTTGGCGTCATGGGGTGTATCGTCTGCGGCAACGGACGCCGAGAGGTGCTCCAGATACACTTGTGTGGCAGGATCGAGTGGTAGAGAGTGGGCCCACTGCAGCAATCGGTGCATCTCGTGGACGTTGGTGGCGTCTTGCTGGTGTCTCACGCAGTATTCCAGCACAAGTTTGAGGGTTTTTCCAAACGGCGCGACGCCGGTCATGTTGTGCCAGTCGATCATGAACGACACGATGTCGCCGACCGACGACGCGTCTTGGTTCTTGGCGCGGTAGAACTGCAGCGGATGGAACTCGGGGGCTGGAATGTCCAGGTCCCAGTCGGGGAGCCGTCGCCGCATGTGTTTGTATTTAAGATTCGCCACGAGTTTCTTCTTGGGTGCAGTCGCAGCACGTTTCCCGTCGGGTAGCTGATGGAGCTGGAACAGGACGAGGCGGTGGATCGTCAGCGGCGTCGGCGACAACCCTTGGTTGTGCATGCGTTGCAGCAGCTACTTCCGCAGGCCCATGAGCTCTCCGACCGCCTTTGTCCGTTCCAAACAAAATGTCCACACACACACACCCCGCGACATGCATCGCGCAAAGAGTCCTCCTCGACAGGGCTTACCTGCAGTGGTTGGTCAAACCGGGTCTTGTCGTTCGAACACACCACCATGATCAAGTCGTTGTAGTCGTCGACGCGGGGCGGGGCGCCCGGGAATAGGGACTCCTTCATGTCAAGGACCATCGTGGCTTCGCTCACTCGGAAGAGCACGACGAGCGCTCGAAACGCATAACGGAGGCCTTCCAGCACCTACACAAACCACGTCACATCCATCACGTGCCTGCAACTGACGGGCATCCGCCAACCACGTACAAGGTCCGCATCGTCTTTGCGCGAGCAGAGCGTGTCGAGCCCACGGAAGATGCGAAAGACGAGTTCATCCTGGAACGCTGTGTTGCCAGGCATGCGGCGGTCCAACCGACTCGCCGCGACAAAGTATTGCTTGAGTTGGGCGACATGCAAAGGCAGGAGGTCGGCCGCCGGCCGGCTGGCAACGTACATATCCTCAATATCTTGGATCAATCCGTCGGCGGCGACCATCGCATCGTGTGCGACAACTGCGCGGGTCTCCTTGGCACTGGCCCCATCGATGCGGTTGGATATATACCTACAGGACAAGCGATGACTGTCCCCATCGATGCGATCGGTTGAAGCATACCGGAGAAACACCGACGCCTTGTACATGTCAAACGTCGCAGCATCTTGCGCGACTTTGGTCGATTCGGTGAGCTGCACCTTGCGCACGATCTTGTTCATGGGAATTCCCACCGATCGCTCGAGCCGGCGCAGCGCTTTGATTCGAGGACTGGACTTGACCGACGATGTCTACGCCATACGAGTCACTAACTACGTGGACGTCGCAGCGACGGCATGTACCTCTCGGAGTGACGCGAGTGTGGCCTCGGGCACATGGGTTAGCCCATGCACCAACGCTGGGAACGCCTCGATGGCAGCTTCAAATGCTTGCAAGGGCACTTGGGCACTTCGGCCAGCGTATTCTTCTTGCAGCTCGTCCAAGCGATCGAGCACGACGTCTCCCAGGCCACACATGGCCGGCGCTCGCACCGACGCAACGGCCAGTTTGTCGAGACGTTCCGGGAAGATTGTCCTCTCGAGGAGTTTAACATCGAGCGGGGGAAGGGCCGCCACCACCGCTGCGTATAAGTCTTGGTAGTTGGCCAGCGCAAACACCGCGGTCGTTGACTCCATGTAACGGGAGTGGATCGTGCGAATCAAGGCGTCGTAGGCATGGTAGTGGAGGCTCTCGACATCCGTGGGCAGGAGCGGCGACTGCGGCGTCGATCCCCCGAGTAGACTGGCGGCAGCGCGACTCGCCTTCACCGTGCGCAACACTTGAACGATTGCACTGCCCTTGGCTTGCACCAACATCGCGATGTAGATCTGAATGCTCACGGGGATCTGCTGGCCCTGCATGTGCCGCAGCATCGCCTCCATGCTTTCATAAGGCATGTTTGCGCGGCTCATCGCTTGGAGCGCTACAGTGTACGCGTCGGCCACAGCGGCCATGCGTGCGGAAGCATCTTCGACATCATGGTTCTGTTCGACACTGGACAGCACGCGCTGGAGCTCGGACCAAATGCGATCCTGCTTTTTCCTCTGTGCCAATGTTTCGTACCCACCAACAGCAGGAGATCTTCCTTGCGCGTGCATTTCAGACGCGACGACACCTCGGCCGCGAGGTACAGCCATGAGGTGACGCAGCTCGTCCACAGACGCTACCGACTCACCATCCGCCGGGGTCAAGATGCTCGAGATCTCCTCGCGATACCATGGTGTTGTTGATGCAGCTCGGAGCAATACGTTTTTCGTTGCCAGCTGGGCAGTAAGCGCCCGTGCGATCCCGCGCGACGGAGCCTGCAGCATGACCAGGGTTGTTCACGCTCGCCCTTGACACCACTGGGTGAATTTGAAACTTTTCATTGGCTAAAATCCATTAAATAGGCCAATTACATACAAAACTCTCATGTACTTTACCAACGTGGCTGGCTAATTTATAGCTAATAGAATACATTCAAGTTAGTATTATCCAATTATGCGCTTTCAAGTTTGAAAATCGACCTATTTAAAGCCAATCAAAACAGGACTTGTTCAATTCGAGTCTTCCAATCAAACGCACTGCAATCGTCTTCCAGACTTTTGATTGGATGAAACTAATCAAGAAAACAAACGAATCATGATTCGTCCAGGCCTGTAATGACGAAATCTTTCACACCAAAGTGGATCAAGGCGGGCACTGCACAACTTGCCTCATGGCGACCACCAAGCAAAAGCTCCTCTTCGTTCTCACGTCCCACGACAAGCTCGGCAACACGGGCCACCCTACAGGATGGTACTTGCCCGAACTGGCACACCCTTACCAGTTCCTAGTCCAGCACTACGACATCACGGTTGCGTCTCCTCTCGGAGGCGTTGCCCCGCTAGACCCTAGCAGCAAGGAAGCGTTCGCCGCCGACCCGGATTCAATTGCGTTCTTGAACGACCCCGTCGCCCAACACACCGTTGCGAACACGAGAAAGTTGTCGTCCTTGTCAAAAGACGAACTCGTGACGTTTGTCGGCGTCGTGTATCCTGGAGGCCACGGCCCCATGTTTGACTTGCATTCGGATGCAGAAAGCCACCGCGTGATTACCACGGTGTGGGAAAACAATGGCGTCGTCGCGTCAGTATGCCATGGTTGGACTCGATTCTTTGTGCTCCAGCATGGGCGGCTAAATTGTTGACCTAGGTCCTGCGTCAGTGTCGGCGGTGAAGCTCTCGGATGGTTCCTACCTTGTCGCTGACAAGAATGTCACGGGCTTCTCCAACGCTGAAGAGGACGCAGTGAATCTAACCGCGGCCATGCCGTTCCTGCTCGAAGACGAACTCAAGCAGCATGGGGCGCGTTACTCCAAGGCGGACAACATGTGGGCTGAGCACGTCGTGGTCGACGGCAAGTTGATCACGGGCCAAAACCCTGCATCGTCCCACAAGTTTGCGCACGAAATCCACAGAGTGTTGAGCCAGCATTAACCTTTCCAATACTTTCCATGTCCACCAGAGCGTAGCGGTTGAGGTGTATTGCGCGTGTTTTTGTTTGGAGGGGACCTGTGCGTTCGCAGACGATGTTACATAGAACAAGGACAAGTTAGTGGCAGCTGAGGTCTTCCTACGAGAGAAATGAAATCCCTGTGAATGCTCGATAGTGTTGTCTCACCTCGCCAAAGCACCACCTGCAGAAATATGAACACACACGACCTCAGTTCCGCTACTGTGTGCGCATTGACGGCCCGATGCCCTTTCAGTGTTCGCATCATGGGAGGTCAGTACGCACAGTGTCAATAAGGCATACCGCCAATTCGATCGTCCTCGTCAGTGGACGCTGAAGATACACCGAACATGCACACACGAAACCACGGAACGTATGTAATCAGGTCAATGAATTTACGAGCCTCCAGAGCGAGGGAAGCCTTGGCCCAACATCCGACTGCCAGCTGGTCAATACAATCACATATTTAGGTGGCGCATATTGGCATTCGAGAGCGCCGAGTGAGTCAGCAAACAAAGTAATTTGCCTCCATGCACCATGCACTTGAAATTGCTCTCCAATTGTTGGGGCCATGTTGCTGCCATGGGTCGATTCACCAATGGAGCCACCACATCCAAGGGTGGAGCTACTGATTGGTTCCTTGTCATAGCAGCTGGAATCCGACCGCGATCAGAGGAGGCTCGAAGGAGGTGTTACCGATTGCATTCCGCAGTGCATGCACGGGCAAGGATGGAAGACCCATCCAACTTCGCGAGCTCCTCGATGTGAAGTCACTAGCAGCCCACCTGCCACGCCATGAAGTGTCCATCATCAGAAAGTGCACATTTGACAGATGAATCGTGCGAGAATCTCCTGATGACAACGTGTACCATATGATCTACTGTATGTTTTTATTCAACAGAACATATAAAATTACTCTTTACTTTAATGTGTCTATTGTATTAGTGTGATACGACCAAATGTGACGGCCAGTGTCCTCGTGGTAGGTATACTTGGTGTTTGTATTGAAACTTCTTACAACGAACCTCCGATTGGACAAAACCAGCTAGCGATGGCGGGATAGCCATGACACAACTAACTTCGCAACTCCACGCTCCTTGTCATTTCGTTGACTGTACGATGACGAAGTCATCGTGCACGATTGTCGCGCTGGTGCTGGCTTCCTTTTGTGCCTTGCCATCGCTGACGCTCAATGTTAAGCTCTCTGGTCTCAACTACAACCCGCGCAAAGGTGCTGACTGGGAGCCATGGGAGCTCAAGTGTAAGTCAGCGGAAGAAGTCACGCTCGACTTGCGTGCGATTTCACTCATCACGGATCACATTCGGCTGTACAGCATGAACGACTGCAACCAAGTGGAGCTTGTGGTTCCTGCAGCAAAAGCACTGGGGCTCAAGGTGTGGCTCGGGATGTGGGTCGACCAGCACAACACGACGTACTTCGCCGAACGTGACGCGCTCAAGGCATTGATCCAGAAGGGAGTTATCGATTCGTCCATCACCGGACTGCACGTGGGCAGCGAAGCAATTTACCGCAATGACATTACCGTGTGGGAAGCGATCGATTACTTTTGGGAAGTCAAGGCCATCGTGAACAATGCTGGATTGACCTTTCCCGTCACAATCGCTGACGTTGGCGACGTGTACGCGGGCCATCCCGAGCTGTTTCACGTGGTACGTGTTATGGCATTATTACTTGGGGTGCGATGACACTAGAGGCTGTGGTTTCGTGTAGGTGGACGTGGTGTCAGCCAACTCGTTTCCGTTCTGGGAAAACAAAACCATCGACGAATGCATCACGTATTTTTACATGCGCATGGGGCCGGTCATTGGCATGGCACGAGTCTTCAACAAGAAAATAATCATCGGCGAAACAGGGTGGGCTACGTCGGGGTGGGCGTATCGAGCAGGGGTCGCAAGTCCTGACAACGCAGCTGTATGTGTGCCAACCGACCTGTTGCGTGGCTCACATGCGTGTGCTGTAGCTGTGGCTCAACGACTTCCACGTGTTTGCTCAAGAATTTGGGTGGCAGTACTATTACTATTTTGCATTTGACACGACGTGGCGGCACAACACGGACGCCAACATCACCGAGCCCGAGGTTGAAAACTATTTTGGTCTCTTTGACAGCACCCGCCACCTCAAGCCCGCGTACGCCAATTTGAACATCCAAAAGCGCAAGCAGTACGGCTACCCCCCTGTGCCGACATGGCCAAATGTCCCAACGCCAACCGAATCGACATGGGACGTTGTCCAGAACGTGATTGCCGCCGTGTTCACCGTCTTTGAGGGCCTGTGGTAAGCAAACGGACAGCCCCAACCAGAGAACACATTAGATAGAACCAGCAACAAGATATGATGAACTCTACACGACTTGACGAGCCCAACGCATCACGTCACATCATCTCGCGTATCAGCATCGAGACAACCTGCGTCTTCCGCGTCGTGAACTTTTGTATTTTTGGCGAGCTACCGACCAATATCCCCTCGTCCGTCCACACTGACAATTGCCTGCATTAAAAAAATACGGGAGTCTGCACACCTACGGCAGTGGCATCGTGGAAAACGTGCCAGAGGAAGCTGTACCAATATTGCGCTTGACCAGGTTACTGTGAAGTGCTTCGACACGTACGTCACGCTGGCGTTTTGGCACCACGAATGCGTATATCGCTGTTATGTGCTGTCGGAAGCGCCAATACGGTGTCTGCAGGCAAGAAGTGCCACGTTTGTCCTGAATCTGGACTTGATTAGCGGTGCTTTGATTGCTGTAGCTACTGTCAAACTGCACAAGGAACGAAGAGCGTGATTATTACGAATCCTAACGATTGTCCATAGTACTATGCATGCTTCATGTTTGACAGAGGAATTTGTCGGCCGAGTACATGCACTACTACGCCTCATCCTACCAGAACAAAAGGAGTTCTCGGCGCGTCCAAAGGCAAGCTAGCTTGGCCGGCAAGAGTCGACATGTTTCGTGCTTTGAACACACCGACGTTAGTACGTACGTCCAGTGTACTGGTCTAACATTCGATGTGGTTGAAAGTTGCAATGTGTACTAATCGGTTGTCCCGACGGCTCCACAGCCGCGGACCGGTGATTGGTGGAACGCGGTCCCACTCGCGGAACCGCCTGCAATTGATCGTAACTGATCGGGCAACGACCCCCCCCCCAAAGGTTTTCGATCGGGTTCAACAAGACGAACGTAATGGGAGATTATCCTTCCTGATTGGTAGAAATTTTGAGTGAATCCCTTTGATTGCAGAGGACCTCGGAAAAATTCACCCCGTGGTACTCCGTCACAAATCCTGTATATTAATATTGCCTGTGCACATTATCCACCAGATGAATTTTGACCAATAGGCGACACTTTTTCCCACGACGTAATGCATGATATCATACAATGTTTTCATACAAAATAGTAGTCAAATGTAGTCTGCGACAAGAATGCCCCTGTACATTTCTCTGAATTATATATCGTCAAAACAAAGAAATGTCATCCATCCTACTGACATCCTCGAGGGGTTTGAAGGTGTAAAGTCACGTAATAAAAAGCAATTCAATACTGAATCTCAATATAACTCATGTATTCGAACAAAAAAATACACTTCGTGGGTGATTCCGGTACCTCTGACAAGCCATCGACTGCGTCAGAGAATTTAAAGCAGCTGTAATAGCGGTGTGTGGCAATTTGCTATATACAATGGGAGTGAACGAATGCCTCGAGTGCCCCTGGAGTCCCTAGAGTCCCTAATGAGATGTTTTCTTGCGTGAAGCAAAAAAATATGATCATTATATGACAGAATGTATGGACTTGATTGCGAACAAACTAATGACCAACATTCCGGAATTGGAACGTTGTCATTGGCTAGTTCAAATCGACGCCTTCAAAATTGCCGCCACGCGACTCAATCGCCAGCAGTGACACAAGGCAGACGCCGACAACCAGTGTTGCTACTTGACTGAGTGATGAGCGTTTACGCAAGATACACCATGGCTCAAAGACGTCAGTTCTTGACTGATTTCGACCAATCATCTATGAGCTCCAAGGAATATGCCCGGTCAAACAACATTGACTGGGGCACATGGAGAGGATGGCTCAAGCGCAAGGAAAGCATTATGACAACAAAGCGCAACGCCAAACGATCCAGCCTTGGCGGCCAAGGGCGTAAAGAGATGATCCCGTTTGCTTCTGAATTGCTCGACTTCATGAACCAAGTTCGTGATGGAGAACACCATTTGACCCACACACATATGGTTACCTTCATGAAGACCCATCATATGGACTGGTTTCAAGATTACGTGGCAAGCAAGAAGTCCGACGATCATGCATACTGCAGCCTCTTGAAGCTTTGTCAACGCTTCTCACAACGCCATCGGTTTTCCCAACGAGTGCCGTGCGTTACCAAGGAGCCGCAAGTCGACTTGGCAGAGAAGAAGGCAACGTTTGCAGCGGCGTTTTGGGACAAGTTTGCGTCAACAGCGGCTGAAGATATCGTAAACGTTGACGAAACGTCTGTTTACTATGACATGCCGCCTACGAAGACGTTGGCCAAGATTGGAGGATCGTCCAAGGTTGATTGCGAACAGAAGCACTCGGATCGTTTGACAGCTGTTCTGACCGTACGGTCAAACGGAGAGAAATTGCCCATTCTCTTCATCGTCAAGGGCGCGCCAGGTGGGCCAATCGAGCAGAACGAAGTTCCATTGTACCCACCAGGTCATGTCTACGTTGTCCAAAAGAAGGCCTGGATGGATACGCGTGTTTGGGAACTCTACTTGACTGAGCTTCTCAAGTTCGAGATCCGTGGACCATCTGTCATCGTAGCAGACAACTTGGACTGCCATGTGTCCAAGGCGTCGTACGACAATGTGTCGTCTCAGCTGTTCAGTGTTTTGGAACCCCTTCCCAAGAACTCGACAAGTGTTTGCCAGCCACTAGATGTTGGCGTCATGGGGCCTTTGAAGAGCAAGTTGCGTTCGAAGTGGCTTCGAGAAGCCCCTGTGGTCACTGCTGCGGAGAAGCGTATGGCCATGATCAAGCGTACTATTGAAGCCTGGGATGAAATGTCATCCGATCTAATCAGCCGCTCATTCATCAAGGCCATTCCGAAGCCATCACAGTAGGTAGTTATCATTGTAGGTAGTTTAGCTTTGTAGGTAGAATATCATTGTATCT